TCCGGGACCATGCTAACTATCAACTTTGGAGTTGGAATGTAAAATTAGTTTCGAAATGGACGGATGTTTACTTCGAATGAAAGGGGAGATTGGAATTTTTCCCCTTTTTTCAGTTAGATTTTCGTTTAGTTTTAAAGGAAAATTGAATTGGAGGGTTAGAAAACTGCGGGACATTAATCGGAAAATTCGGTAAAAATTTACGGATTTCACATTTCCTCCCTGTTTTCTTTAAAATCACACTTAGTAGTGTGGTTTCAAACTTTCTGATTGTTTGGTCTGGGTAGAGGTATGTTTACATAGAGAATCTTTTCGGTTACATTAAAATGCCGCGTCAAAAAAGAAGTGATAAAAGAATCCGATGTGAAATGTAACACCTTGGTTATACAAATAAATCCCGGCACGTGTCATTCGCGACAATATTTATTGCTCGAAGTGGGAGGACTGAAGTCTTCGAACAGGAATGTTTGATTGGTCAGTTGAAGTTCCTGTTGACCTGGATACGAGAATACGAGTCAAAGTTCGGTAGGGTGGAGATTGTCCTTTGTCTTGGAGTTCTTGGATTCGTCGGTTGGATTCTTGTTGTTTTATCGATAATATAAAACTTTTCAAGATGCTACCGGAAAGTATTTAATGATTGGAAGATTCGTAGGTAAGTGGATGATATTTTGTTGTGGCGATCAGGTTAGAACTTCCTGGGCGATAGGTTGATTGGCACTTCGAAGACAAGAGACTACAGCCTGAGATCCTGTCGCGTTCCTATTGGTCACATTCATTATGCAGACCGCGCATGCGTTTCATTTTCTTTGTGTTTCGGCTTGCGAGAAAGTGAAAGTGTAAATTGAAAGCATGTTTGCCAATGGTACTTCGTTCACCTTTGAAGACTGTGGCAAAATATTTAAAACAAAAATACCTGAATGGGCATCGACGTAAATTTCACACAACTGAAGTGAAATGTAAGTTATCCATATCCTACCGTAATCGATCCAAACTTTGTTGGAATCAACGATCGCGATGTTTTGTAATGTTCTGACGTAATAAAAGGTTGGTGGAGCTCGTGACCCCTCGGGCAAGGTGACCTCGTTTCACTCTCCCCTTTCCAGCACTGACCTTCTAAGAGTTAAGACTGTGTGTAATCTTTGTGCACTCTTTGTTCTTTGTTATATAACTAGTTACGCGAGTCTAACTTGTTTTTACCAATCTCTCCGAAAAGCTACATCCAGCATAACAAACTTTTCTTTACGGAATACGTTACGGAGTTTATAACTCGACCCTAATTCCATATTCTAATTTTTACGAGAAAATACATTTCTATATTCTATTTCCGTTATAAGAAATTAAATTAAAATTGAAATCATCCACGATGTGACTATTTAATCCTAGTGGACAAACTAATAAAGTATTCTTAACATATAGACACCCAATTAATTAATTTTTTTTTGATAGTCAATATCAAATATTAATGGAAAATAGATTTTGAACTTTATAATTGTTTTTTACACTGAAAATGGCTTTTTGATTTTTCAAAATTTATTTTTTTTATATAACAGGTAGCTACAAATGTCTGGAGATATCCTGCAATTTCACTTGTAATAGAAATCAGCAACTTCTTAATCATTTGAAATTAGATCATAATGTGACCATTGATGTAACAGAACTAAATTTCGGTTCTTTTAAAGAGTTTACTGATTGGAAATCGAAAATTGAAATGGATTCAAATTCACATTTCATTTTGGTATGTGGTTCAAAAACTATATAAAATATAAAGCATCATTATTACACATGCAACCGTACAGGAGACTACAAGCCAAAAGTTGATGACATCGACAGAAAAAGAACGTTGAAATCACAAGGCACAACCAAGTTGAATATGAAATGTACTGCTTATATTGCAGTAGATGAGAATATTCATACTGGCCAGGTGGCAGTGAAATTTTGTGGAAAACATTATTCACATGAGCTAACTATTGCAAATATTCCGATGAATGAAACCACGAGAATTAGTATTGCAGCTAAGTTAAGAACTGAGATTGCATCAGGTCGAATTACACAAGATTTAAGACAATTTTCATCTCCAACAGAGTATTCCCTTGCACCAAGGTCAGCTATTGTTTCAAAAAAGGACATCAACAACATTAAAAAACAATATAACATATCCGGAATACAACGCCACCACGAAGACCACATAAGTGTGTCAATGATAATAGAAGAATTACAAAACACACAGAATCATTTGTCTATTTTATTTTACAAATCTCAAGGAGAAGTTACTGAAAAATTCAACATTGAAAAGGATGACTTCATAATTGTATTACAAACAAATTTTCAGCGCCAAATGTACAAAAATTCGGAACAGATGTCATTTGTATCGACTCAACACACAACACAACTTATTACAATAATCTCAAATTAATCACGGTTATTGTTGTAGATGAATGGGGTGAAAGTATTTCAATTTTATGGTGCATAAGTAGCCGAGAAAACAAAAGCATATTAAAAGTACTTTTTTCTTTGCTTAAAGAAGCTTCACCTGCAGTTTCCTCTAACTATTTGATGTCAGATGATGCATCTTGGATCTTCACTGCATATGAAGAAGTTTTTGTTGGACACAAAAATCAAAAACTTTGCTCTTGGCACATAGAACGAGCTTGGAATCGTGCGGTTTTAGAGAAGGTACGGAAAGAAAAGCAAGAAGAAATTTATAATGGGCTTCGACTTCTGCTACACACTCAAAATGAAAGAGAATTTAATGAATTAATGCCATTATTTTTACAAAATGTTCCGCAAGAGTTCTTCGATTACTTTACGAATATGTACGCAAACAGAACTCGTGAATGGGTTGCTTGGAATCGGAAAAATTCATTAGTTAACACAAACATGTACGTGAAATCATTCCACAGGTTATTAAAACATGGTGAAGACACGATGCAGGGAAAGCAAAATAAATGAATGGATGCACTCCTTCATGCATTGATTAAATTAGAAGATTACTATGTCAATGAACGGATTTGTAAATTGGAAAAGGGTAAAGTGACCAAAACAATACAAACAATAAATTCTCGGCATCGTTCAAGTTTGAATTTAAGTGAAGAAGATTATTCCTTTATCAATGAAAATGAATGTTGGAAGTTTACTAAAAAGAATTACGTAATTGTTAGAAAGACTTGTCCAAGATTAGACTGTCGACTAAGATGTGATTTATGCAAAATTTGTATACATGATTTTAGCTGTTCTTGTAGTGATTCGTTGTATGTAAAAACAATTTGTAAACATATACATTACTTGAAAAGAAAATTGGATACAACGGAAATAAATACTGGAGAAAATAGTGGTGACTATAACTAGGAAGGCAGTAATGACAAAATAATAGTATCACTTGAATGCGGACAATCAACAACTGAAATTGGAAGTGAGAGATTGGAGCTGAATGATGATGCAATGCAAATTTCAAGTACCGAAACAGAAATGCAAACAGAAAATTTCAAGCAAGTTCTGGAAGCAAGATCAGTTCATGAAACAGACATTAAAGGCAGGGTTTTTGCTACAACACAAAATTTACTTAAAGAAATTCAAAACTGCAATGACAGCATAATTTTGGAACAAGTTAACAGACGAATTATCTCTCAGATTCTGCCAATCTTTCAAGAAGCTCAATTAGAAAAAAATGACGAAAATGAATTAAAAATATGAAAAATTTCAGCATCAAATACGATTGGACCGAAAAACCTGGCAAAAACAAAGACGTTTACACACTTCCCCAACTGAAATAAAAAGAATTCGAAGGCAACTAAGAGAATTACAACAACACTGTAGTACGTGTAATAAATCTGATGACCAACAAGAAACAGACACGGTCTCGTGGATACAATGCGTGCAGTGTGATTCTTGGCATCATATGTTTTGTGTCTCAGTAACAATTGATACTACAAATTTTATATGTAAGCTGTGTAAGGATTGTAAGATACATTAAAACTTTTCAAATTCATTAAATCATAAGTCATTATTTTTCCTATTAAATGCACATTAAGCACATTAGAAACTTAAAAATATAAAATCATGATTTTTTATAATAAATTTTTATAACATCGCGTTTTTTATTTATGTGATCGGCGGGTCTTGGTCTTTATCATGACTGACACCAGTGTAACCTCCGTCAGGATGAGAAAGTTACGTTTGTTACGCAAGCGGTCGTTCGAGCGGATGGAGCGAGAGACAGCGTACCGGAAGTGACTCACACAGAGATTAGGTTAACGTAACAACAGTCTAATTGGTATTGATATGCTATACATCTTTTACATTTAAAGTTATTTACGTACGCAACACATCAAAATTTATATATTTAAAAAGTAGTACATGTTACAAAAATAAATATCTAGATATATTATTATTAAAAATATAACAACATATTTCAATATGTAAATTAACTGTTAATTAATTTTGTTATTTAAAGTTTGAGGGACCCCGCAAAAAATTCTATCGGGCGTCGCACTTATTGGATCCCGCGCACAAGGATGAGTCTCACATATATATATAGCCTATATTTTTTCATTTTCATATTTATAAATATTCATTTTATAATTTTTAAAACATGAATAAATAAATATGAAACTACAGTACTAGTAAACACATGCGTGTCTGCATAATAAAGTTGACCAATAGGAGCGCGACAGGATCTCAGGCTCTATTCGCCTGTCGCGGTTGAGGTGGTGGACGACGTTTTTTCTGCTGAACGTAACGTCGAATGATATAATAAAAACAGCATCCCATAACGACAGTACCAAGACAACTTGTAATTACCGTTGAGAGGTAGGATGGAGGTGTTGATTTAGTTGTCTCCTGCAATAGGTGATTGAGGGGTGCGTTCTTTTATTCCTCCCCGTAAATCCGCGCGAGTGACATCCGTTTAAAAATTCCTGCGGAACGCGTTCCTAAATTCCGGTCGGAGTGCGCGCCGTCGAATGGCAAAAACGACCGTTTGTAGCAGTAGTTTGTCGTCAAACAAGATGGCTTCTTCGATGACACATGTTATGTCATATCAATGCCCGTTATGTGGTTACACGGAAGAAAATTTAGAAGACGTACAAGCGCATGTTAACGCACACGGTGTTCTAGCAGGTAAGTGTTATATCAATTTTTTTTTAGAATAGTAAGCATTATTCTAATTTATTCGTGGCTACTTTGAATTCTCAGTCGGAAAGACAACCCAGCTGATGGTTAAATTTTACAAGTAGAACCCTTCTTTTAATTTTTTAGTTATTTCTCTTTAACACTTATTCAGCATCTCATAATTTATATTTCAAATATCAGCCTCTGAAAGTTTTTGCTATGTCTTGGCATTGTCATTAGTGTTTAAAACTGTTAAATCATTAAGATTTCAAAAATTTTAAATGACTGGCTGTTATAATGATATAGTAACCATCCATTAAATTGTTTAATAAAATATATTTAAATTTGTAGAGTATTATAACTTTAAACCATACAAAAATAAACTGGTGTTATAATTTCTTTAATTTAAAAATGAGTTACGATACTCATTTCTTGCTGATGAATTCATTGCCTAGAATATTTCAATTTTTTAACTAGGAGCAGTACAAATTTAGTAGTGAATTTAATTTAAATGTTATAGGAACATCAGTCCAAGATCAGGACAGTGAGATTTTGATTCCCAGTCCTAGTCCTCAAAATGATTTCAGTAATACAAAATGGCCCCATAAGGACATTTTGCAACTAATTGAATTGCGTAAAAGTTTGAATGAAATGTTCGAAAATGGGCCAACAAGGAAGTCCATATTATGTAACAGGTGTGTATTTTTTTTGCCTTTTATTATGGGAGGTTGTTCAAATATTATGTCATATAATTTTCACATATTTTGATACCTCTTTCCTTCTATCTTATTTTGTTACTAGCAAGGAACCCTTATGAGCTGTTCATCAGTGATTTCAATAATGTTTGTGGGAATAAGGCTTGATAGAAACATTTAACTTGAATCAGTAATGTAAACAAATTGAGGGCTTTTGCTGTAACTCTTAAGTTAAATATTTTTGAAAAAATTCTAAAATATGTTTGAGAAGTGTTTAATAAAGGTTTATATCAACCTTACCTACACATTATGGAAATCACTGATAAACATTCAGGCACTTCGTAAGGTCTGCCCCATCTGATATAATACATGAACAGCCCTATGCTAATGGTAACCATTCATCGTAATGCCAATACATTGCTTCTACAGAATTGCTGCAGAAATATCAAAAACAGGATTAGACGTGTCTGGGAAAGGATGTAGGAAGAAGTGGGATGGACTGTGGAGAACATACAAAAAAGTAAAAAAAAAACATAATAATACATCTGGCAACAACAGGTGACTTTTTTTAATTGAAATTTCACTTATATTTCTCAATACTAAATATATTGTGGTCTTTTTTTCAGGAGGATGTGCTGTTACTACAATAACATGGACGAGTGGCTTGGTGAACGTCCTGATGTGGCATCACCTTTCACTCTTAGCAGTGAAAGTGCATCTACATCTACATCTTCACTGCCTGAAGTTCCTGCATCACCATCACCAGTCCAACGTCCAAAAAAAAAAAAAAACTGCTAACAGATGTTGAACGTGAGAATGCAAAACGGCAGTGGCATGAGGAACACCTGCAAAGGATGGATGAATTTAATAATTTATTTAAACAGTTCATTGAAAAAATAGGAAATATTACAAAATAAAAAGATATTAATAAAAGTAGTTTAATTTCCATAAACTGTATCCAAAATGTTTGTGATTAACCATAAATAAATACAGTAGTTTATAACTCCACTTTATCCAACACCAGAATATAATCAATTATTTACTCCTTTCATCTTAAGGTACATAATAAATAGCATTAGTGGAATCTTTTGCTTACTTCTAAATGTCTTTGTTTATAAGCTTTGAGCAATTCTGTCACGCTTTGTATTTCCAACTCGTTTTTGCTCAATAACACATGATCTATGATATACTCCAAGGTTATGATTGCCTGGATCCTGGAAGACATTAAAAATATTACACTTGTTATACATGTACTGTATAACAAGTACCGAAACTTCAACTAACTATCAACTTTGGAGTTGGAATGTGGGATTAGTTTCGAAATAAACGGATGTTCACTTCGAACGAAAATAGAAATTGGAATTTTTCCCCTTTTTTTCAGTTAGATTTTCGTTTAGTTTTAAAGGAAAATTGAATTGGAGGGTTAGGAAACTGCGGGACATTAATCGGAAAATTCGGCAAAAATTTACGGATTTCACATTCAAATACTAACAAATCACCATGTTTCTACCATGCCTCTGTAGGCTATAACAGCCCGCTCTCAAGCTGAGAGGGGTGTTGTTCTCGTACTGCAAGCTGCAGGAGTTGTACATTGTCTGAGTTAATAAATACCTTTGTGTTCCTAACGACTGATTGCCGTTTGTTCCCGCGACAGTTTGGTAGAGACGCCGAGTACCGCCTTCCACTTACCCTTATCATAGTGGAGGTACCATCCCGTCCTAGACAAAGTCTACGGCTCCAAGGGTCACCGCCGGAATACGGTGTTTATTCTCCTCTTGGCCAAACACGACAAAAACCAATGGCTCAAGACCGCGAAAAAATCTCTGGGGTGACCTCTGTCCGTTCTGTTATCAGACACTAGAAATCCATCTACGTTTGCTGGTGATGTTACTAATGACCCAGTAGGATGGCTGCGGGAATACGATCGAATAGCGACATTTAACCGCTGGGATGACACGGCATGACTCATCAACGCTTACTTCTTCCTCACAGGTACTAATTGACAGTGACGAAAATAATGAAAGAGGTCTTTGGTCGTGGCAACAGTTTAAGACCAAACTTCAAAAAAGTGTTTGAGGATGACAAGCAACAAGCCTGGCAAGCAGAGGAACTGTTAAAGTGCAGGGCACAGAAACAGAGGGAAGTATTCAATCCTACATTCAGGATATCTTATGTTTGTGTCACAAAGTGAATCCTCATCATGAAGAAAGCCGATAAGGTGTCTCACCTGATGAAAGGCATTGCTGTAAACGTGTATCAGATTCTGCTCACAAAGGAACTCACCACCATGACCGAGTTCATCAACTGGTGTCGCTACATCGAGGACATGCAACAGAAACGAGTCGGTCCACAGAAATTTGACCGTCTGCCAAATGTTGTACTTATGGCTTCTTTGAAAGAAAAACCTGATATGTTCACTTTCATTCTGCAGACCGTAAGACAGGAGGTTCAACGAATCTTGGGGCCCCAGCTGGAGGATGCCGAACCAAGAAGGCCTTCACTTGACTCGCTTGTTAGAGAAGAGGTCAAGAGAACCCTAGCCCCATTATCCCAGACTGGGTCATCCTGGACAGCTACTCAGCCAAAATGGTGCCCTATCTATGATGCAGCTACCCGGCGACAGCTTCCAGTTGCCAAACCTTCAAGAAGAAAAACCGACTTGTGGAGAACAGATGATAACCCCCCTCTTTGTTTCCATTGCGGACGTCCCGGCCATGTTGTACGCTATTGCCGGGAGCAGAGGCAAATGCTTGACGCTTCTCGCACGAATAAAGAGGCACTGGCTGGACAGCAGTTCTGTTGGCCATACTCCGAGGACTACATTCGGCCATCAAGGTCTCGCAGTTTTTCACCGTATGCCGAGGACGAAAAAGGACATTTGCCAACTCGCCGACGACTGAGATCACCATCACCATACCGCCGTCTTAGTTGATTTCCCCTTCTCAGAGCCGAGAAAAACTAAGCAGTGTGACCTTTCTTGGGGGTGAGGCCGCTTGTGAAGAAAATTCCCCTTCGACGACTGTTGCCCAGATGACTAGAAATTATGTTGACATTAGTATAGAGAATCACCCCGTTCATGCCCTCGTTGATTCTGGAGTGTCTTTTTCTGTACTCTCTGAGGCATATCGCTGGCAACTGTGGAAGACCATCTTCACCAACACCACGGACGTCATACTGAAGGTAGCGGACGAAAATTTCGTATGTCCAGCTGGAAAATGTGTAGCGTGAATCAGTATAAATGGGAAGTACCAACCATTTGAGTTTGTAATTTTGCAGCATTGCAGTCATAATGTTATTCTCGGATGGGATTTTTTAGAAGCCTCTCAAGCCGTGATAGGTTGCGGACGTTCTGCCCTCCTCTTGGAGGATGACCCTGAAACAAATGGGATAGAAGCAGACACGCTAGCCAAACCTTCCCGCTTATGTACTTTTGAGGATTGTTTCATCCCTCCTTACTCGTTAATGAGAATAGTTGGGTAATGTCTTGCCACTCACAATTCTTTTGAAGCAATAGTAGAGGGTAACAAACACTTACTGCTAGAGAGAGAAGTTGCCACCCCTTCTTCCATCATCCACCTGATGGAGGACAAGGGAGCATTGTGGGTCGCCAATGGTACTTGTAGGCCTAAAACCTTTCCAAAGGGTATGTGTATCAGTGTAGCAGAGCGGTTACAGGGGAATGCCCTAAACGCCATTGACGAATGTGCTCCGCCAGAGCCGATAACGATGGCCTCCCCTACGACTGTGAAGCCAGAAGTCCAGCATGAGTGGAATGTGTCTACCGCCCTGACCCTGGACCAACGAATGCAACTTCGAGATGTTCTTCGTCACTTTGCGGAAACCTTCCAGTTTGGCAACAAGAGAAGTACTACCAAGATCAAGGTTTAACACCGGAGATAACCCACCGACCAGTCAACGAGCATACAGTGTCCCTCAGTGAACGCAGAATTATCCAGGATGAAGTTCAGAAGATGCTGAGGGATTATGTAATTCAACCATCTGAGAGCCCCTGGTCATCGCCAGTTGTCCTTGTGAGGAAGAAGGATGGAAGCTGGCACTTTTGTATTGACTACAGGCAACTCTATGAGTCGCCTGTAGTCAATACAAAAGAATGCTCTAAAGATCTTACAAGTAAAGAAAAACTATTGAAGAACATCGAATCACGAACATTTAGCATTCCTCACTCAATTCATTCAAGAAAAATCGACGCAAGCAAGTACTCCGACACGGAACGTGGATCAACCATGAGTAAAAGCATGTCCGTAAACTTGACACATGCGGGAACTAAAAATGAAAGTGAATTCATCGATTCGATACATGCAAGAACAATGGATGAAAGCGGGTCTCTCGGCTCGATACATGAAGGAAGAATAGATGAAAGTAAGTTTTTAAACTCAAAACGTGCAGGATCCATCGATGCACGCAACACATTTTTCAATCGTTTGTTTTNTTTGCAGAGTCCCTGAATAAAAGGGAAGACATGCGGGTTATGTCGCCGAAGCGACGCAACCCCCGCATAATTGTGCCAAGGGTCAGATGGGACATCGAGGAGGGCACAATGAAAAATTTTGTTGAGAGCCAGCATTCTGACATATTGGGAGACGTACGGAAGCACATAGAGAGCGTTTTTTACATCGGCAAAGAGACAAACGAAGAGCGGTCATGGGTCCTGACCGTCTCTCCAGAACTACGGAGAGCATTTTGCCAAGCAGGCGACGTTCTTCTCATGGATTGGTCATCGCGTACAATGCACGACTTCTACTATTATAATAGATGTAACAACTGTTACACTACAACCACTTAAAATCCATGTCAATCAAAGTCAATCAAAAATAGTATGTCCCGGGTGCAGTGGCCTTCCTCGGATTGCAACGCGGAGAAGCCAGACTTGAAATGCATAAATTGCATGAAATACAACTCCACCAAGAAGCTAGAAAGTGAACATGTGAATATCAACCACTCCGCCAGGGATCGCATGTGCCCGATATACAGGTATCACTGCAAGATTAGAATGGCTAATACTCGTCAGTAGTTCTATAAGTTAGTCCTAAGTAGATTAAATTATATTATATTAGAAAAATAACTAAAAAAATAATACAAGTTAATCTAGACAGGTCGTCCACTGCGACTGATCATTTACTGAAACAAGTTATTGACCTTGGCATTGCTATCGCCTTGCTCCAAGAACCTTATGCTACAGACAAGGTTCACGTGTTTCCAGGCCGTTTCGGGTGTCTCCACTCAGGGACATAGACGGCAATTGTAAATTTCACTCGGGAAATCTCTCTCTGTCTGGCTCCACACCTGTCTAACCACTTTTCTACCACTGCAATAGCTCAGTATAAAGACCTAAAATTCTTACTAAATTCCACCTATCTAGCTTCCTCCGGTAACATTGAAGAACAACTCTCGAAATTTACAAAACTAATCAAATCTTTTAACTTACCCGTCATAATTGGAATAGACACCAACTCAAGATCCCAGATTTGGTACAACAGGCTGGAGAACCCTCGCGGAGAGAGGTTCACCGAATTTCTTTATGCTAGCAGTTTAATTTTACATAATGGGCCGGGCGTTCCGACCTTCTCTAGCCACCAAGGAGAAAGTTATATAGAATTAACCCTATCAAAGAGAAACATTGGCACAAAACTTGGAAAACCTCGCTGACGGAATCACTTTCAGACCACAGATATATATTTTTCGACATAGATACATCCTCATGCCAAAATCACTCTGTTAACGAGACCTCAGGAAAAAAGTATGACTTAAAAAACGCAGATTGGACAGGCTTTCAAAAA